CAATCAAAGCACTTGTAACAGATGGTCATTCAGAATCTCCTTAATAATAATAATAATAATATTCTGGGGTTGGAAGAGACCTCCAAGGGCCATCCAGTCCAACCTCCTCCGCCCATAAGGGAAATTTATTATTATTATTTTATTTCTCGTATTTCTATCCCATCCTTCTCAACCCCCGAAGGGGGACTCAGGACGGCTTACAATGGGCCCCATTCCGAAGCCATTACATAACAAATTGCAAAATTAAAACCACAATTAGACATAAAAGCATAATTAACAATACATAAGCCATTGTTAAAACAGTAAAACAGTCTTTTTTTAAAAAAACAACATTATTTTATTTTTAATTGGGGGGAAAATCAACTGCATCTTAATATGATAAGCATTTGGTTTTAAAAATGAAACAGCAAAATTCCCAATTACGATTTTACTTCTTAAAATCTAAAATAAAGTTGAATTATGAAAATAGACACTTGTGAAGCAAGCTACATACACAGCCTTCAAACCACAACGATGGAGGGAACTATTAAACGGGACAGTCGTAAATATGGATTTCTTGGTCATTGCCCACAGAGACTATTTTGGAGAAGCACAATCAAAGCACTCGTGACAGATGGTCATTCAGACTCTCCTTAATAATAATAATAATAATAATAATAATAATAATAATAATAATAATAATAGAATCCTAGGGTTGCAAGAGACATCCAAGGGCCATCCAGTCCAACCTCCTCCTGCCATAAGAGAAAAGCACAATCAAAGCACTTGTGACAGATGGTCATTCAGACTCTCCTTAATAATAATAATAATAATAATAATAATAATAATAATAATAATAATAATAATATCCTAGGGTTGCAAGAGACATCCAAGGGCCATCCAGTCCCACCTCCTCCTCCCATAAAAACACAATCAAAGCACTCGTGACAGATGGTCACTCAGACTCTCCTTAATAATAATAATAATAATAATAATCATAATAGCAATAATAATATCTTGGGGTTGGAAGAGACCTCCAAGGGCTATGCAGTCCTACCTCCTTTTGTCATAAAGGAAAAGCAAAATCAAAGCACTCATGCGGTCGTCATCCGTTCCAGCTGGAATGAAATAAACGCTTTGGTGGCTTTCCTTCAACTTGGTGAGACTTTATTTGGGAAAATTGGGGAAAAATCTTTCTTGGTGCTTGCTGTCTCACCAGGTGTTCTGGATCCTCCAAAATTCATGTTCAACATCAGGATCATACATGATTTTTTTTTTCAAGAAAAGCTACAGAGAATAGTACCAAAACTGCTCTGGATTCTTTTACAAGGTGCTTTGAGGGAAGGACTCGGTTTCCCTGTCCTGGGAAATGGGCCCAACTGCATACTTTTGGAGCAAACGGACTCCTATCTTCCTAATCACATGTAGGTCAGAAATGTATATTTGCAATGCAAACGTTGGGGCAAAAATCAACACATTTCTTTTGGTCTTTTAAAAGAAATATCAAAATATGGACACAAGACAGTTAAAGCAGGAAGGAAGAAGGGGGATCAGCAACCAATCAAGCATTTGTGTATGGAAGCAATTAGAGCAGCAGTCTAGCTTAAAAGTTTCAAATGTGTATTTGAAAACAAACAAAACAACTACGTTTTTGAGGTAGGAAAGCTGGAGCCTAAACTACACTATGTAACCAAATTTCTGTTCCTGGTTTCACAAGAGTTATTTCTTATTTAATTGAGTGGTTCATATTTTGAAAGTAGATTTACTTCAGAAACTTCGTTTTTGTGGCTGAGGGTCTTTATCCCACCCTGAACATCATTCCACAGATATATAAACTCCACATGATGGTTGTTAGAGTGGTCGAGCATTTCACAATTCCCCCAGGCAGAAAGCAGCCAGGCTTAAGCTGCAAGGCTATTCAGTGCTAATCAAGCTGGCCAGTTGCAACATTTACATTTGTCTCAAGCAGACAAGAGTTCTTTCTCCCACCCTGGACATTATCCCACAGATATATAAACCTCACATGGTGGTTAGGAGTGGTCCAGCATTTCATCATTCCCCCAGGTAGGAATCAGCCAGGATTTGAAGCTGCAAGGCTATTCGGTGCTAATCAAGCTGGCCAATTGCAACATTTACACTTATTTCAAGCAGACAAGAGTTCTTTCTCCCATCCTGGACATTATCCCACAGATATATAAACCTCACATGGTGGTTGTTAAGAGTGGTCGAGCTTTTCACAATTCCCCCAGGCAGAAAGCAGCCAGATTTTGAAGCTGCAAGGCTATTCAGTGCTAATCAAGCTGGACAATTTCAACATTTATAATAATAATAATAATAATAATAAACCTTTATTTATACCCCGCTACCATCTCCCAAAGGATTCGGTGCGGCTTACAATAGGCCGAGACCAATACAACAATAAAAGACAACAACAAAACAGCAGTAAATAAAAATCAAACAGTAAACATTAACAATAAACACGACACAATTAAAACCAATGCCAGGGCCAGATGTAATGGTTAAAAAATTAAAAAAGCTGGGCATGACTGGGTAAAAATGGATAGGTATTTTGGCGAATAGGTAGGGCATGCGGACAGACCTAGATCTCTAGTAAAGTGCATTTGGGACAAAGTGCTTGTAGTTTCCTATTCTGAGAAGGCACACTGAAACAGCCACGTTTTCCTAAAGAATGCCCACATTGGGGCCTGCCTGATATCCTTGGGGAGTGAGTTCCAGAGTCGAGGAGCCACCACAGAGAAGGCCCTGTCCCTTGTCCCCACCAATCGCGCTTGTGATGCAGGTGGGATCGAGTGCAGGGCCTCTCCGGAAGATCGAAGAGATCGTGTGGGTTCGTACACCGAAATGCGGTCACGCAGGTAGGCGGGTCCCACAAACCGTTTAGGGCTTTGTAGGTAAGCACCTGCACCTTGTATTGGGACCGGAAAATTAACAGCAGCCAATGGAGCTCCTTAAACAGAAGGGTTGACCTCTCCCTGTAAGGAGCACCAGTTAACAATCTGGCCGCTGCCCATTGAACCAGTTGGAATTTCCGGGCTATTTTCAAGGGCAGCCCCACGTAGAGTGCATTACAGTAGTCTAATCTGGAGGTGACTAAGGCATGGACCACTCTGGCCAGATCCGCCTTCACGAGGTACGGTCGCAGTTGGCGCACAAGTCTTAATTGTGCGAAGGCCCTCCCAGCCACCATCGATGCCTGAGCTTCAAGCGTAAGTGATGAGTCGAGGAGGACGCCCAAACTGCAGACCTGTGACTTCAGGGGGAGTGCAACCCCGTCCAACACAGGTTGCCACCCTATACCCTGATCCGGTTTACGATCGACCAAGAGGACCTCTGTCTTGTCGGGACTGATCTTCAGCTTGTTTCTCCTCATCCAGACAGCCACAGTGGCCAGACACTTGTCCAGCACCCGAGGGGCTTCCTTGGAATTAGGTGGAAAAGAGTAGTAGAGCTGCGTGTCATCTGCATAGAGATGGCACCCAACTCCAAAACTCCAGATGACCTCTCCCAGCGGTTTTATGTAGATGTTAAAAAGCATGGGAGACAGAATGGAGCCTTGCGGGACCCCACAGGTCAAAGACCAGGGGTCTGAGCAGGCGTCTCCCAGCTTCACCATCTGGGAATGATCCTCCAGGAAGGATTGGAGCCACAACAGAACCATGCCCCCAAGACCCATTCCGGAGAGTCATCCCAGAAGGATACCATGATCGATGGTATCGAAAGCCGCTGAGAGATCCAAGAGAACCAGCAGGGTCACACTCCCCCTGTCCAGTTCCCTACGGAGGTCATCCACCAAGGCGACCAAAGCCGTCTCGGTGCCGTGGCCAGGCCTGAAACCAGACTGTGACTGGTCCAGGTAATTGATGTCGTCCAGAAAGCCCTGAAGCTGGGAGGCGACCACCCGCTCCAGCACCTTGCCCAAGAAAGGGAGGTTGGAGATTGGTCTGTAACTGTTCAACACCGTGGAGTCAAGGGAGGCCTTTTTCAGGAGTGGTCGAACCACAGCCTGTTTTAGTTGAGATGGAAAAATTCCCTGCTCCAATGATGTATTAATGATCAACACAAACCAATCAACCCGCCCACCCCTGGCCGATTTGCACTTGTCTCAGCAGACAAGAGTTCTTTCTCCCACCCTGGACATTATCCCACAGATATATAAACCTCACATGGTGGTTGTTAAGAGTGGTCCAGCATTTCATCATTCCCCCAGGTAGGAATCAGCCAGGATTTGAAGCTGCAACGCCATTCAATGCTAATCAAGATGGTCAAATGCAACATTCACATTTGCCTCAAACAGACAAGACTTCTTTCCCTTGCCCTCGACATTATTCCACAGATATATAAATCCCACTTGCCTCATTTGCAACAGACCTCACAACCCGAGAATGTGTGCCATAGATGTGGGCCAAATGTCAGGAGAGAATGCTTCTGGAACATGGCCAGACAGCCCGGAAAACTCACAGCAATCCATGCCCAGGAAGGTGGGGAAAGGAATCCCCGAGCTTGGCCCTGTCTCTAGTCTAGCTACTCATTGAGGACTAGAAACTTGATGAAACAAAGACTTGTGCAGTGCAGGGATGAAACTTAACACTCAGCAGCCTTGTATCACAACTTCCATCAGCTGTAATGATGAGGCAGGCAGGAGTTGTAGTCCACCACCTGGTGAGCTACACCAAAGTCCATAGGTCAGGCATGCACAAACTTGGGCCCTCCAGGTGTTTTGGACTTCAACTCCCACAATTCCTAACAGCGGCTATAGGGGGGAAGGAAAGGGCCTGAGGCTGTTAGGAATTGTGGGAGTTGAAGTCCAAAACACCTGGAGGGCCCAAGTTTGCCCAGGCCTGCCCTCACTGACGCGCGTATTTTTCTACAAGGGCGCCCTCTAGAGGCCGCACGCACGCAGGGTACCTAAAACGCTCCATCTCTGTAGGCCTCCTTTCTATAGCCGCACTAAGGAAGCTTCCCATCTGCTCTAGCCGCCGCCACTCTATGGTGAGCCCACAACCGGAAGTCGGTCCATTCCCAAAGTGTCCCCGCCGCCACTTCCTCCGCAGCCCTCTTCTTGGAGAGGCCGCTTTCTGGGTTTTTGGTTTCCCGAATGGCGGCGGCAGTAGAAGCGCTGTTCCTGGCTCTGGCGTTGGTGGCAGCCGCGGCGGGAGAGGCCTCGAACGAGACTTCGGGAGGGGGGCAGGCGGGGCCGGCGCCCACCGCGCTCTCGACGCCGGCCACATCCGGGTCCTCGCTGACGTCACCGCCTTCGCGGCTGAGGCTCTCGGCGCTCCACCGCGCGCTCTACGTCATCGCCGTCCTGGCCGGCATCGGGCTGCTCTATTACCTCGGGGGCCGCGCGCTACGGTGAGGAAGGGGCGCTCAGTGGGCGGGGGCACGCGCTCAGTGGGCGGGGCTATGCTGCTGGGGGCGGGAACACGTGCTCAGTTGGTCTATGCTGCTGGGGCGGGGCCACGCGTACAGTGGGCGGGGCTTCGCGCTAAGTATGTCTATGAAGTTGGGGTGGGTCACGCCCCAGTGGGCGTGTCTCTGTGGGCGGAGCCACGCCCCCAGAAGGTCTATGTTGCTGGGGAAGGGCCACGCGCTCAGTGGGTGTGTCTATGCTGCTTGGGGGCGGGGACACGCGCTCTGTAAGTCTATGCTGTTGGGGGAAGAGCCATGCGCTCAGTAGGCCTATGCTACTTGGGCGGAGCTACGCGTACAGTGGCCGGGGCTTCGGGGCACGCGCTAAGTAGGTCTATGAAGTTGGGGCGGGTCACGCCTCAGTGGGCGGGGCCACGCCCTCAGGTCTATGTTGCTAGGGCAGGGCTTCGCGCTCAGTGGGCGGGGCTATGCTGATAGGTTCGGGACCATACGCCCATTTGGTCTATGCTGCTGGGGCGGGGCCGCGCGCTCAGTGGGCGGGGCTATGCTACTGGAGGCGGTGCCACGCGCCTAGTAGGTCTATCCGGTTGGGGGTGGGACATGAGAGAAGCCTCCACTGCCAGAAGGGACAGAGAGCTTCATCTATGCTGATGATCATGCCATTACTGCTCAAGCAGGGAGCTTTGAGATGGTTGAACAGAAGCTCTCCGAAGCTCTAGGTGCTCTTACTGCCTATTACAGGGAAAACCAGCTGATCCCTAACCCATCTAAAACACAGACATGTGCTTTTCATCTCAAGAACAGACAAGCATCCCGAGCTCTGAGGACCACCTGGGAAGGAATCCCACTGGAGCATTGCAGTGCACCCAAATACCTGGGAGTCACTCTGGACCGTTCTCTGACCTACAAGAAGCACTGTCTGAACATCAAGCAAAAAGTGGGTGCTAGAAACAATATCATACGAAAGCTGACTGGCACAACCTGGGGATCACAACCAGATACAGTGAAGACATCTACCCTTGCGCTGTGCTACTCTGCTGCTGAGTATGCATGCCCAGTGTGGAACACATCTCACCACGCTAAAACAGTGGATGTGGCTCTTAATGAGACATGCCGCATTATCACGGGATGTCTGTGCCCTACACCACTGGAGAAATTACACTGTTTAGCCGGTATTGCACCACCTGATATCCGCTGGGGAGTAGCAACCAATAGTGAAAGTACCAAAGCACGCCAACGACTTAAATCATGAAATAGTTTTCTAAGATCTACAGAGACACTTGCTGGAACACCTCAGCAAGCGAGAGTCCAAAAGTGGCAGGCTCAAACCCAGAACCTCAACCAATGGCTGATACCAAAGGAGAGACACTCCCCTGGGCACACAGAGGACTGGGCGACTTGGAAGGCGCTGAACAGACTGCGCTCTGGCACCACGAGATGCAGAGCCAACCTCAAGAAATGGGGCCACAAAGTGGAATCCACGACATGTGAGTGTGGAGAAGAGCAAACCACTGAAAATCCCAGGGGACGCCCGGATGTCTTACAATCCTGCGAGGAGGCTTCTCTCATGTCCCCCGATAGATATGATACATATGATTGATATGATTGATAAAAGAGGTGAAAGAGAAAGATGATCATGATCATGATGGGAGAGAGAGATGATAGGATAGAGAGAGATGACAGAGAATGAGATAGATGGATAGATAGAGATGAGAGAGGAGATAGATAGATGAGAGAGAGAGAGGGAGAGGAGTTGTTGAAGGCTTTCATGGCCAGAATCACTGAGTTTCTGTGAGTTTTCTGGGCTGTCTGGCCATGTTCCAGAAGCATTATCTCCTGATCTTTCACCCACATCTATGGGGGACATGAGAGAAGCCTCCCCTCAGGATTGCAAGACATCCGGGTGCCCCCTGGGCACATCTTTGTAGACAGCTGATTCTCTCACTCCAGAAGTGACCAGAAGCGACTTGCAGCATGCAACCAAACCAACCAACGGACCTTTTCAGGACCAACCATGACAATAATCTCAATCAACATTGAAGGCATGTCAGCTGCCAAAGAGCAACTGCTCTATGAACTGTGCCAAGATAAGAAATGTGATGTGCTGTGTGTCCATCAAGAAAAACAGGGATAAACAACAGAAACGACCAAAAGTTCCAGGAATGATCTTAGTAGCGGAAAGACCACATGCGCAGTATGGAAGCACTGTCTTTGTCAAGCCAGGCCTCCAAGTCAACAGTGCCCACAACACTGAAGAAAACAATATAGAGGTTATAACAGCAGAGCTTAATACCTCTGTGTACAAGTCTCCAAATGAAGAGTCTTGTTTCTCCTTCCCCGAGAACTTTGATAGGCACCAAGGGGCAGTAGTAATTGGTGACTTTAACTGCCATAGCTATGTTTGGGGTATGCTCAAGAGGATAAAAATGGAGAGGCTGTCCTGGTCTGGACTGCACAAACTATCACTCATTCATGATTGTAAGCTCCCACCATCCTACAACAGTGGGAGATGGAACCGAGTACATAACCCAGACCTCTTATTTGTGAGCAACAGTGTTGTGCAGCAATGCACTAAATAAGTGGGACAACCAATACCATACACACACCACCGACCAATAGTATGTCAACTGTTCCCAACTATAAGGCCTCAGGAAGTTCGATTTAAACGAAGATTCAACTTCAGAAAGGCAAATTAGACTGAATTCTCAGACATGCTAGATGAGGTGATCATATCAGTCATGCCAATCCCTGAGGAATACGAGCACTTTATCGAAATAGTGAAAACCAGCTCACGGGCCTCTATACCGAGAGGCTGCAGAACGCACTACCTTCAGGGCATTACTCCCGAAACAGCTGCCTTGTTGGAAAACTATTACAGGCTCCACAACGAAGACCCATTTAGTGAGCAAACCCTTCAGGCAGCACAGAGCATTGTGTCCTCCATCTCTGAAGCCAAGAAAGAACAGTGGATCAAGCTGATCACAGAGGTCGACATGGGCAGGAGCAGCCAGAAGGCGTGGAGGCTGCTGAGATGGTTGGGCAATGACCTCTCACAAACGAATACCCATGCCAACATAAAGGCAGATCAAATAGCACACCAACCCTTGAAGAATGGGAAACCCAACCTTGCCACCAAAGTAGGAAAGAAATTAATAGTCAGACAACCAGATAATGAGAACAACTACCTTCATGAACCTTTTACATCTACTGAATTGGACATGGCTCTCAATAAATATAAAAATGGCAAAGCAGCTGGCCTGGATGATCTACAGATGGAAAAAATCAAGAACTTTGGTCCAAAAGCAAGGCGCTGGCTGCTGGAGCTGATGAACAACTGCACTGCATCCTGTCAGATCCCCAAAATCTGGAGGAAAGCAACTTGTCATAGCCATCTTGAAGTCAGGCAAAGACTGTAATGACCCGAAAAGCTACAGACCAATCTCCCTGTTGTGCCACCTCTGCAAAGTTCTGGAGAGACTTACTTTACATAGAATTATGTAACAAATAGACCCATGTATTGTCGAAGGCTTTCATGGCCAGGATCACTGGGTTGTTGTAGGTTTTTCCGGGCTATATGGCCATGTTCTGGAGGCAATTTTTCTCCTGACGTTTCGCCTGCATCTATGACAAGCATCCTCAGAGGTAGTGAGGTCTGTTGGAAGTAGGAAAAATGGGTTTATATATCTGTGGAATGACCAGGGTAATGTTTCAGCTGATCACCTTGATTTACATTCAATGGCCTGGAAGCGCCTGGGGGGAATCTCTTGTTGAGAGTGAATTGATGTGCCTGATTGTTTACTCTCTGTTGTTTTGCTGTTGTAATTTTTTGAGTTTTTTTAATACTGGTAGGCAGATTTAGTTCATCTTCATAGTTTCCTCCTTTCTGTTGAAATTGTCCACATGCTTGTGGTTTTCAATGGCTTCTCTGTGTAGTCTGACATGGTGGTTGTGAGAGTGGTCCAGCACTTCTGTGTTCTCAAATAATATGCTGCGTCCAGGTTGGTTCATCAGGTGCTCTGCTATGGCTGATTTCTCTGGTTGGAGTAGTTTGCAGTGCCTTTCATGTTCCTTGATGCGTGTCTGGGCAATGCTGCGTTTGGTGGTCCCTCTGTAGACTTGTCCACAGCTGCATGGTACACGGTAGACTCCTGCAGAGGTGAGAGGATCCCTCTTGTCCTTTGCTGAACGTAGCATTTGTTGGATTTTCTTGGTGGGTCTGTAAGTGGTTTGTATGTTGTGTTTCCTCATACCCATGTCTGATTAGACCCATGTCTGATTCCACAGCAAGCTGGCTTCAGGAAAGGCAAAGGATGCACATCGCAAGTGCTGAACCTGACTCAGCACATAGAAGATGGCTTTGAAAGGCAGCAGATCACAGGAGCTGTCTTCATAGACCTGTCAGCAGCTTATGATTCTGTAAACCACCTCCTCCTCCTGAGAAAAATGTATAATATCACAAAGGATTACCACATTTATTTATTTATTTATTTCCTATATTTATACCCTGCCCATCTCCCCCCGAAGGGGGACTCAGGGCGGCCTAACAAAAGCTTCATACGATGCCAGCATCATAAAAACAACCACAGTACAATCAAAATATTAAAAATTAAAACAACAATTAAAACAATTCATTAATACACATCCATTAAAATCGAAATCCAAAAAATAAGTCCGGGTCATTTCAGTGTTCAACTTTTACACAAATGACCAGCCACTGCCAGAAGGGTCAGAGAGTTTCATCTATGCTGATGATTGTGTCATCACCGCTCAAGTAGATAGCTTTGAAATGGTTGAACAGAAGCTTTCCAAAGCTTTAGGCACTCATACTGCCTATTACAGGGAAAACCAACTGATTCCTAGTTCATCTAAAATGCAGGCGTGTGCTTTTCATCTTAAGAACAGACAAATATCTCAAGCTCTGAGGATGACCTGGGAAGGAATACCACTGGAGCATTGCAGCACACCCAAATACCTGGGAGTTACCCTGGATCATTCTCTGACCTACAAGAAGCACTGCCTGAATATCAAGCAAAAAGTGGGTGCTAGAAACAATATCATATGAAAGCTGACTGGCACAACCTGGGGATCACAACCAGACACAGTGAAGACATCTTCCCTTGTGCTTTTCTACTCTGCTGCTGAGTATGCATGCCCAGTGTGGAACACATCTCACCACGCTAAAACAGTGGATGCGGCTCTTAATGAGACATGCCGCATTATCACGGGATGTCTGTGCCCTACACCACTGGAGAAATTACACTGTTTAGCCGGTATTGCACCACCTGACATCCGCAGGAGAGTAGCAACCAATAGTGAAAGGACAAAGGCAGTGACATCTCCGGCCCACCCCCTGTTTGGGTATCAGCCGGCACGCCAACGACTTAAATCAAGAAATGGCCCTCCAAGATCTACAGAGACACTTGCTGGAACACCTCAGCAAGCGAGAGTCCAAAAGTGGCAGGCTCAAACCCATCACCTCAATCAATGGCTGATACCAAATGAGAGACTCCCCCCTGGGCACACAGAAAACTGGGCGACTTGGAAGGCGCTGAACAGACTGCGCTCTGGCATCACAAGATGCAGAACCAACCTAATGAAATGGGGCTACAAAGTGGAGTCCACAATATGCGAGTGCTGAGAAGAGCAAACCACAGACCACCTACTGCAATGCAACCCGAGCCCTGCTACATGCACAATGGAGGACCTTCTTACAGCAACACCAGAGGCACTCCAAGTGGCTAGCTACTGGTCAAAGGACATTTAATAGAATACCAAGTCTACAAACTTTGTGTTTTGTTTGTTTGTTTGTTTGTTTTTAATGCAATACAACTGTTTTGGTTCTCTCCTGACACGATAAGTGTCAGGAGAGAATGCTTCTGGAACATGGCCAGACAGCCCAGAAAACACACAACAACCTAGTGATTCTGGCCACAACACAGGAATAATAGTATTTCTTACCCATCTCTCCTTATGGCTCGAGGCAAGTTACAGCATAATTAAAACACATAAACATTGCAAAATATCTATAAATAAACGTATTAAAATGTATTTCTGTAAAAAAAAATTTTTTTTATCCCTTGTATGTGAAACAGGACGGAATGTGGCAGAAAGTGATAAACAGAACTGTGGCTTCTACACTGTGGTACTGTTGCAGTTTGATCCCACTCACTTGAACTGCCCTGGCTCTAGTGCTCTGTGGATTCTGGGAGTCATTCTTTGATGAGGCGCCCGCTCCCTTAAGCAGAGGAGGCCCGAGATCTTGCAAACAGTAAAAGTGAGGTTAAAACCCAGTGTAGATGCCACATTTGTTTCTATCTTTTCAGCATTTCCTCCTCTTAAGTTGTTTTTCGCTTCTCTGGGTCAGATCCTGGCCTGTGCGGTCACTGATGGCAAATGCGATCCTTCTTTTTTTTCAGGACGCGGACGCCTCCCCGCAAAAAGTACGGCCTTCTGTCCAATGCCGAAGACCCCATGGAGATGGCCTCCCTGGAGAGCGATGAGGACACCGTCTTTGAGTCCAGGAACCTGCGGCGGTGAGGGTCCCCCATAAAGATATGCAACTTGTCGTACAGCCCGGCCTTCCTTTCTTCCATTCCTTCCTTCCTGTATATTTCTTACCTTCCTTCCTTCTTTTCTCTTTTTCCTTCCATACTCTATCTACCATATATAGTCGAGTATAAGCCAAGTTTTTCAGCCCTTTTTTGGCTGAAAAAGCGCTCCTCGGCTTATACTTCAGTCAAATTATTTATTATTTTACTCTGTTGTTGTTATTGTTATTATTACATTTACATTATTTTACTCTATTATTATTTTATTACATTTATTATTTTACTCTATTTTTATTGTTACATTTATTCTTTTACTCTATTCATTATTATTACATTTGTTATTACATTTGTTATTTTACTTTATTATTAGTGTTATTAGATTTACATTATTTTACTCTATTGTTATTTTATTACATTTATTCTTTTACTCTATTATTGTTAATATTACATTTATTCTTTTACTCTATTTATTATCAGTATATTTATTATTTTACTTTATTATTGTTATTACATTTATTATTTTACTTTATTTATTGTTATTACATTATTTTACTCTAATTTATTATTATTACATTTATTTTACCCTATTATTACATTTACATTATTTCACTCTATCATTATTATTTTATTATATTTATTATTTTTCTCTCTTTATTACTATTATTATTACATTTATTATTTTACTCTATTATTATTATTACATTTATTTTTACTCTATTATTACTGTTATTATTACATTTACATTATTTTACTCTATTATTATTATTTTATTACATTTATTATTTTACTCTATTATTTATTTATTTATTTATTTATTTATTTATTTAATATATTTATATCCCGCCCTTCTCCCCACAAGGGGGACTCAGCGTGGCCTCACATGAGCATCAGAGGATGCTAACAGCATAAATACTATAAAAATTACAATTCACAATAAAATCATTTTAAAACATTGTACAACATCATCAGTAAAATTTAACAGTTAATTAATTAATTACTTAATACCATAAAAATTACAATTCACAATAAAATCATTTTAAAACATTGTACATCATTATTGGAAGGATATGTAAGCAGATTTATATTGAAGAAGGTTAGAATATTGGTTTAATCAGAGTTGGACAGTCTTACCTTAAATTACAGTTTTATGAAAATATTCAAAAACATTTAATCTACTGATGTCTCAATTAATGCAATTTATAGGTATCTGCTTTTATTTTGCAATTTACCAGTAGCTGCTGCATTTCCCATCCTCGACTTATACTTGAGTCAACATATTTTCCCAGTTTTTTGTGGTAAAATTAAGTGCCTCGGCGTATATTTGGGTTGGCTTATACTCGAGTATATACGGACTTACATTCAGTCCTTCCTCCCAATTTTTCTTTTCACTTCCTTCCATTCTTTTTACCACTTTTCTTTCTCATTCCTTTTCTTCTCTGTGTCGCCTTCCTTTTTGCTCCTTTCTTCTTTTGTTTCCTTCCCTCCATTCCTTTTTTTGTCTCTTTTCTTTCCTTCCATTCTCTATCTTCCTTTCAGCCTCCTTCCAAATCTTTCTTTTCCCTTCCCCTTCCTTCTTTCATTTCTTTTTTTCCTTCCCTTCTTTATTGTTCCTTTGTTCTTTTTTTTGTTCTTTCCTTCATCCTTCCATTCAGTCCTTCTCCTTTCCTTCTTTCATTTCTTTCTTCCTTTTCTTCCTTCCTTTTTGTTCTTTCCTTCTTCCTTCCTTCCATTCAATCTTCCTCTTTTCTTTCTTCCCTTCTTTATTGTTACTTTGGGGTTTTTTTGTTCTCCTTTTTCTTTCCTTCTATTTTGTCTTCCTCCTTTCTTCTTTTTTCCCCTTCCCTTCTTTATTTATTGTGTATTGAATTACAATATTTATACCCCACCCTCTCTCATCCCGAAGGGGACTCAGAGCGACAAGTTATATGTATATGCAGGTGGCGCAGTGGGTTAAACCACTGAGCTGCTGAACTTGCTAACTGAAAGGTCGCAGGTTTGAATCCGGGGAGCGGGGTGAGCTCCTGCTGTTAGCCCCAGTTTCTGCCAACCTAGCAGTTCGAAAACATGCAAATGTAAGTAGATCAATAGGTACAGCTCTGGCGGGAAGGTCACGGCGCTCCATTCAGTCACCTTGGAGGTCTTTTCTTTCTTCCCTTCTTGTCTATGGACAATGCCAGCTCTTTGACTTGGAAATGAAGATGAGAACCACCCCCCAGAGTCAGACTCGACTAGACTTAATGTCAGGGAAACCTTAGCATAGGGAAACCTTAGCATAGCGCAATATTAGTATTATATATTACTATATTGTACTCTACTGTAATATTATGTCAGTAGAGTCTCGCTTATCCAATGTTCCGTATTATCCAACACAGTCTGCCTCCTGCCCGGATCCACAGTTGTTTCAATACATTGCGATGTTTTGGTACTAAATTTGTAAATGCAGTAATTACTACATAACACTACTGTGTATTGAACTCTTTTTTCTGTCAATTTATTGTAAAACATGATGTTTTGGTGCTTAATTTGTAAAATCATAACATACTTTGACGTTTAATAGACTTTTCCTTAATCCGTCCTTATCATCCGACATTTTTGCTTATCCAACGTTCTGCCGGCCCATTTATGTTGGATAAGCGAGACTCTACTGTAGTAATATTATAAGTAACTAGTTGTCCCCTGCCACGCGTTGCTGTGGCCCAGTCTGTTGTTCTAGAAAATAAAGTAATGAGAAAGTGTTGGTTTCTAATATTTGTAATTTCTTTATGCTTGTGGGTAAACAGTATTTTTGTTGCTGTTTCTTTGTCAGTGCTGATGTGGAGAGTGTCTGGTTTGCCCATCCTGGAACATGCAAGATATCATTGTCCTTGTTTAGGGGTCCCTTTCAAATCTATGATACTATATCTCTCTTTCTGTGAATCATATCTATCTATCTATCTATCTGTATCTATGGTTGGATGGCTCTTTGTCAGGAGGACTTTGATTACATTTTCTTGCCCTGATGAAGGGAGTTGGATTGGATGGCCTTAAGTATTTTCTGTTGCTCGTGGGTGTTCTGTGTGGGAAGTTTGTTCCGATTCTGTTGTTCATGGGGTTCAGAATGCTCTTTGATTGTAGGTGAACTATAAATCCCAGTAACTACAACTCCCAAATGTCAATGTCCCTCAAACTCCATCTGTGTCCATATTTGGGCTTATGGAACATTCGTGCCAAGTTTGGTCCAGATCCATCATTGTTTGAGTCCACAGTGTTCTCTGGATGTAGGTGAACTGCAACTCCCAAACTCAAGGTCAATGCTCACCAAACCCTTGCAGTATTTTCTGTTGGTCATGGGAGTTCTGTGTGCCAAGTTTGGTTCAATTCCATCGTTGATGGAGTTCAGAATGCTCTTTGATTGTAGGTGAACTATAAATTCCAGCAACTACAACTCCCAAATGACAAAATCATAATTTTTTGAGTGATGGTCATTTCTTGTGTTGTGAGATCTTTTATTGCCAAATTTGGTGTAATTTCGTTCATTGGTTCTTTTGTTTTTAAGGTACTCATTATGCACAGAGCATTTTTATATATATAGATGTATAATAAGCAATTATTATATTGTATTATTATTAGTATTCTTTTGTATTGTATTCTTTACTAGTTTGAGTCCCCGGGGTGGCCCGGGTAACTTGAAAAAGTCAATTTTGAATTGTACAAAATGCATAAGGTTGTGGGTGAACTACGACTTACATCATGCCAGGTTAACCCTGAGAAACTCCATCAGTACTTAAAGTTTGCTATGTTGGGCAAGTTTACGCTAGATACATCATCAGTGGGGTTCAGTGTGTTCTCTGGCTGTAGGGTAAACTACAACTCCCACTAGGCAGTTCACAGTTGAACCATCCTGTCGCTACTTTAAGTTCTGCACTTTATTTTGGCCCATTTATTGACTTCCTCGACACCCTCGCCAATGCTTTTCCCTAACCCCTGTTCAACTAATTTTCACACTTTCCATTGGCTCCTTAAGAATTATTTGCACTCATTGAGCTTGAAATCAGTTATGATCCTTATCTCAGCCTATTGTTTATGATGCTGTTTTAGGATTGTTTTTTGATTGAGTTATGTTTTATTATTTTTTTATTGAGTGATTTTAACTGTGTCTTTGTTTTTATCTGTAATTGTGGGATTGCTCTTTGTAACCCGAGTCCCCTAGGGGAGATGGTGGTGGGGTATAAAAATAAAGTTATTATTATTAGTCCCCTCAAACCCCTCCAGTAGGTTTGAGAGGACTAACCCCCTATACATCCCAGTATCTACAACTCCGATAAATCATGGTGAATTCTCCCCAAACTCCTCTAGTATGTTCAGTTACTGATCAATTCCTCTGTTTGCTAAGAATAGGAAAGGGTCAAGGGAGAGGTAGTGGGTGGGGTCATGCAAATTCCACGCCAATGGAGAGAGTAAGTAACACTGAGATGTCTGGTGGAAGATAAACAGAAAATCTACGATGACATTATCCCCATTTGAAAGCCTTCACGTGGGCGGTGGGCGGTGTGGTGTTTGTGGAGGACATTGGCATGGCTTTTGGACATGTTCTTGGTGTTCACTATAACTTGCAATGTCATTGGAGGGAGGGCCATTGGTGTCTCCTGAGTAATGGGAGCTATAGCTCTTTGTGTAAATGGACACCCCAGCCACACATGTATATATTTTCACTTTTATTATGTGTTTAGATAGATAATAATAATAATAGAACCACAGATTTCTAGTTGGAACAGACCTGTAGGGCCATCCAGTCCAACCCTATTCTGTTAGGCAGAAAGGCACCATCTGATTTCCCCCCCCCCCCAAACAGATGGCCATTAAGACTCTGATAATAATAATAATAATAATAATAATAATAATAATAATAATAATAATAAATATTATACTATATTATAATGTATATTATATATATATGATATTATATATTTATATATGATATTATCTATCTATTATATATATATAAATTCTCAGTGCATAATGAGTACCTTAAAAACAAAAGAACCAATGAACGAAATCACACCAAATTTGGCAACAAAATGTCTCACAACACAAGGAGTGACCACCTCTCAAAAATTATGATTTTGTCATTTGGGAGTTGTGGTTTCTGGGATTTATAGTTCACCTACAATCAAAGAGGATTTTGAACTCCATCAACAATGGAATTGAACCAAACTTGGCACACAGAACTCCCATGACCAACAGAAAATATTGGAAGGGTTTGGTGGGCATTGACCTTGAGTTTGGGAGTTGTAGTTCACCTACATCCAGATTTCCAGATTTGAGTCCACAGAGAGCACTGTGGACTCAAACAATGATGGATCTGGACCAAACTTGGCACAAGTACTCAATACGCCCAAATATGAACACAGATGGAGCTTTGGGGAAATTGACCTTGACATTTGGGAGTTGTAGTCACTGCGATTCACCTATAATCAAAGAGCATTCTGAACCCCACGAATGACGGAATTGGGGCAAATTTCCCACATGACCAACAGAAAATACTTAAGGCCATCCAATCCAACTCTCTTCATCAGGGCAAGAAATCATAATCAAAGTCCTCCTGACAAAGAGCCATCCAGCCATAGAGATAGATAGATAGATAGATAGATAGATAGATAGATAGATAGATATGATATGATATGATATGATATGATATGATATGATATATGATATGATTCACACAGAGATATAGTATCATAGATTTGAAAGGGACCCTTAAAGAAGGACAATGATATGTTGCATGTTTCAGGGTGGGCAAACCAGACACTCTCCACATCAACACTGACAAAGAAACAGCAAGAAATACTGTTTACCCACAAGCAGAAAGGAATTACATATATTAGAAACCGACACTTTCTCGTTACTTTATTTTCCAGATCAACAGACTGGGCCACAGCAACGCGTGGCAGGGGACAGCTAGTATATTATATTATATTATATGATTTGATACTATATATTATTATTATCATTTATTTTCCTTGCATTCTTTTGCTTTGCCTCATTGGTATGGAACAGACTGTTTGTGGAGGCAGGAGTTTGTCTGTGTAAATGGACACCCTAGCCACACACGCACATATTTTCACTAGTATTATGTGTATAGATTGTGCATTCCTTCTTCCTTCCTCCCCAAAGGGGTTCAATGAAGGAATACTTTGGGGGGGGGGGGAATATACATTAAAGAGGTGCAATTTTCCTTTGTGGAAAACAGCAGTTGTAGAGAGGGATACAGTTGTCTTAACTGTCTGGTTTCTCTCCCTTAGATGATAATGGGGGCCACGGTGTGATGTGCCAGACGTTGACCGGAAGAGGTACAGATCCACCGTCGCACCAGCCACCTTTCCCCCCTGATTTTCTCTTTCTTATTTTTTGAAAACTGTTGGGTTTGTTCTCCCTCAAGAGAGGTTGCCTTTCCTCCGAAGGCTGTTGGAAAGGATAGCATAAATGGAGGCCCTCCCAAAGCAACAAGAGCGAATGTAGCCCTTAAGGAGCAAAGGAACCAAGTGGGAATGGGACACGATGGAGGGGAAACACCACGCTTGATATGTTCCTTACCGCAATGGGAGATGAAGCCATCATCATGGATCGTTTTGGTTCCCAAGGAGTTTTGCTGGAGGGTTTCGGGATGGCAAAAGGGGTCACAACATTCCACATTCCTCCATTTCATTCCGCACTTCGGGAAACTACACAGTCTGCAAGGTTTGCCATTAACCAGAACTTGTTTCCCAAGCCTTTGAGGATCGCCTTAAATTTGACCAAGCCATTCTAGAAACGTGTACCTTTCAGGCGACTTCTTCCATGCCCCCAACTTCCATTCCTTAGACCTCAATGCAGGGTTTGGAATAGAATTCTGGGCAAAGCAGAGAAAGCAATGGTTGGAGACTATTAACTCTCTTTGCTACACCCTTTACATGTCAAGGTCCCATTTTTTTGCCCCAAAATGCCATCTAGAGGCATCTTACCATGATCTTAGGCCTAAGAGTTGCCTTTTAAAGTCTGCCCTGGGCTTACAATGAACCAGGGAGTCAATAAAATCATATTTGGAAATGCCTGCTACACTCCTGAAGGTCACTTGAGGGTCCAACCTTTCCCCCTTGAATATATTTCCCCCCAAAATATACTGTACTGTAAGGTAGATATAACACAGGCAGAACAGAAGAGCAGTAATCGAGATACAAGAAGTGATTTGGAAAGGAATCTGTGGAGCAGACTCCATCTTCTAGTATCCCCCTCATCGGCTGCTGTGCATTGCAGTCAGTCAGAAAGCCCTGCAGACCCTTTCCTAGTCTAACGTCGGGACCGAAACTGGGTCTTTCCATACACACCTGATGCTTTGAAACGTGAGAGAAACAATGCTTCGAAATGCAACCTTCCTGTTTATATTTACTTCCTGCCTTCCCCTGGTATTTGCAGGATTTTAAGGGGTTTAATGGATTCTTAAACATTATTCGGAGCCATGAGATGAACTTGCCCACCTCAGATTTGTAAAGGAGGCCAGTTTAAATGTCTCTCCGTTCCATGAAAGGGCCCAAATTTGGGGAGACCACTGGATGAGGCTTGAAACGCTTGCTTGCATGAGTCTGCAAAAAACCCTGGCTATTTTCCTTCAGAAGAGAGAATTGTTCTTCAAAATGGGACCAGTGTGGAGCCAGGCTTTGGCCCTTCGAGTTTTTTTTTTGTTCTCGACCAGAAATCAATCTGCTAATCCTCAAATAAAGACAAATAAACACACTGTCCTTGGTTGTCTTTTCTACTTCAATTGTGACATTGGAAGACTGAGCTATGGGCTTCAGAGAGGATAATAATAATAACAATCTATATAAATAATAATAATAATAATAATAATAATAATAATAATAATAATAATAAAAACGTTATTTATACCCTGCCACCATCTCCCCAAGGGGACTCGGGGCGGCTTACATGACGCCAAGCCCAACAGTACAGCAAAGCAAATATACAATATAAAATACAAACAGTAAAATATAATCAAAATAAAATAATAATAAAATTAATAAAATACAAAAACAGTATAAATAAACACACAAACTATGGTCACAGTAATTGGGCAGGGCGAATTGCAAGGATTAAAAGTTTAAAACACTGGGTAAGCAGGCCATGTAGTGTATCTAGACAGGGTCGGAGGGATGAAAGTGAAGTTTAATTGCACTAGAAGATAGGATAAAGTGCTTCTGAGGACATTTTATGCAGGGTTTGGTCAAGATCAGGGATTATTGTTCATTCATTGAAGGCACACTGGCATAGCCAAGTTTTCAGACACTTCCTAAAGACTTCCAGGGCGAGGGCTTGCCTAATTTATCTGGGGAGCAAGTTCCAGAGCTCAGGGGCCACCATGGAGAAGGCCCTCTCTCTCATCCCCACAAGTCGCACTTGCGATGTGGGCGGAAACGAGAGAAGGGCCTCTCCAGGAGATCGAAGGGGTCGTGTAGGTTCGTAATAGGAGAAATGTAAATGACTGTTCAAAACCTCAAATCTTCACCGATTGCTTTGAAATTTGAGCACAATGTAGCATTCAATTAGGTGCATGTTTTTATGTTTTCACATACCTATTATATACACTTCACACTTGTGACAGGTAAAAATATGCTTTTAAAAGAAAAACGGCACCATCTGTTGGATGCCAAAGCAACACATATTTTACAATTTCATTTAAATGTTCCCGAATGCATTGTTAAATTGATTTTTCATACATTTCCATTTAGTAGTATTTAGATTTCCTTGTTTTGTGTGAGATTGTGCTGAATTGTGTCATTTACCTTAGCGGTCATTTCGTGAGCATAGTTTATTGTTGTCCTTTTTCACTTTGACGCTGTTCACTTTGCCCTGAAGGGGGCGGGATTGCCCGGGGGTGCGCCTTTGCCTTCCCCCCTCAACGCTGCATCTCTGCCATAGTCCGAAGTTGCACCTGAGGGAGAGGATGCGCACCTTGGCCACTCACCCACTCAGCCAGGCTTCTTTAGGCAGGTAAGTCAGGCAATGCCTCTTGGATATACTGTAAGTAATTTTTATTATAATAAATATGTACTACAAATTCTCAGCCCTAAACGGTTCTGGCCCTACTTACCTCTCCGAACGCATCTCCTATGAACTGACTAGGACACTAAGATCATCTGGGGAGGCCCTGCTCTCTGTCCCGCCTGCATCACAAACGCGCTTGGCGGGGACGAGAAACAGGGCCTTCTCAGTGGTGGCCCCTCAGCTGTGGAACACCCTGCCTGCAGATATCAGATCGGCCCCCTCCCTGCTGGCGTTTCGGAGGAAAGTGAAGACCTGGCTGTTCGAACAAGCATTTGATTAAACAGTGTAATTGAACATAGGAATGGAATAATGGATGATGAGACTGGATTCTGATTTTAGTGTTGAGGCGCTAATGATTGTTATACTTATGTTAATGATTTATGTTACAATTGTTTTTAATTGCCCTATACTTGTCTCGTGATGTTTTGTATCGATGTTGTTCACCGCTTTGAGCCGCCTGAGAGCTGAGAAAAGCGGTATACAAATAAAGTAAATAAATTAATAAACTGGTTAACAATTACAATCAAATGAGACATAGTTTTGCAAGGGGTTGCTGATAAGTCTTTGGCTTTGTGTTCTTGTTTTGTTTCTATGGTAACGAATGTTACATCACATGAAAGCCTTGTGTGTCTAATATATGTTTTCAAAATTTTGTGTTTGTAGCTTATGGTGACAATGATCTAGGCACGTGGAAAAACAAAATGGCGAAGTCTAATGCGATATTCACAGCAAATGACAGCAGAGGAGTGATAAAATTCTTGTTTATGCAAGGAAAGTCCACGTAGGATATTCATGATGATATGTTGCAGACATTGGGGGATCAATGCCCTTCATATTCTACAGTTAAGAACTGGGTTGCCAAATCTAAAATGGGCCAATGATGAGCACCAATGATGAGGAAGGTTCTGGACGACCGAAAGTGGTTGTTCTTCCAGAGATCGCACAACCTCATACTGGAGAATTGGTGAATTTCATCTAAAGGAATAGCAGATATCATGGGGATTTCTCGTGAACGTGTTTGTGTCATCCATGAACATTTGAACATGAAGAAGCTCTCTGTAAAGTGGGTCCCCAAATGTTTGACAACAGATCAGAAAAACATGCAAGTGAAAACTTCCCGGTCCATTTGTCAGCATTTCCGGACTGATAAGAACTTTATGGATTGACTGGTCACTATGAATGAGACCTGGATTTATTTGTATGACCCTGAAACCAAGGAGCAGTCAAAAGAGGGTTGACACAGTGGTTCTCCTCTTCTAAAGAAGTTCAGGGTGCAAAAATCAGCCACTAAGGTGATGGCATTTGTGTTCTGGGATAAGGAGCGTGTGCTGCTAGTGGACTACCTTCAGAATGGTTCCACCATCAATGCAAGGTATTACACTGAACTTTTGGATCACTTGAAGGCAGTTCTGAAGGCCAAAAGGCACGGCAAGCTGTCCAAGGAATCTTGTTCCTACAAGACAATGCCTCCACTCACACTACATGGAGCCCCGGTGGTGCAGTGGGTTAAACCCCTGTGCTGGCAGGACTGAAGACCGACAGGTCACAGGTTCAAATCCGGGAAGAGGTGGATGAGCTCCCTCTATCAGCTCCAACTCCTAATGCGGAGACATGAGAGAAGCCTCCCACAAGGATGATAAAAACATCAAAACGTCCCCTGGGCAACGTCCTTGCAGATGGCCAATTCTCTCACACCAGAAACGACTTGCAGTTTCTCAAGTCGCTCCTGACACGACAAAAACAAAACAAAACACTGCACTACAATAATAATAATAATAATAATAATAATAATACTTTATTTATATTCCGCTTTATCTCCCCAAAGGGTCAGAAAAATTCTCAAAAGCAAGCTCAATGGAGGCAATACCATCAAGGCCATAAACACCTGGGCCATACCTGTCAAAAGATATACTGCTGACATCGTAAACTGGACACAGGCAGAACTGGACAATTTGGACACAAAAACAAGAAAACTCATGACCATTCATAATTCATTACATCCTCACAGTGATGTTGAACGGCTATATCTGCCTAGAAAGTCTGGTGGCAGAGGACTTTTACAAGTAAAACAAGGAGTTGAAGAAGAAAAAGACGCCCTGGCAGAATATGTCAAGGAAAGCCAAGAACCTGCTTTAATTGAAGTCAATAATCGGAAACAGCAGACAAAGAGTCAGTACAAGAAAACTGCACTCCAAACCAGAGCTGACAGCTGGCACAACAAAGCCTTACATGGGCAGTTCCTTGAGAAGATTGAAAAAAAGTTGACAAGGAGAAGACCTGGTTATGGCTCACGAATGGGACCCTGAAGAAGGAGACAGAAGGCATGATCCTTGCAGCCCAGGAGCAAGCCATCAGAACCAATGCAATTAAGGCCAGGACTGAAAAATCAGCGGATGACTCAAAATGCAGACTGTGCAAGGAAGCTGATGAAACCATGGACCATGTTGCAAGAAAATCTCAAAGACGGACTACAAACAAAGACACAACTCTGTGGCCCAAATGGTTCACTGGAACTTATGTCACAAGTACCACCTGCCAGCAGTAAAGAACTGGTAGGATCATAAACCCGCAACGGTTGTGGAAAATGAACATGCAAAAATACTGTGGGACTTTCGAATCCAGACTCACAAAGTTTTGGAACACAATACACCAGACATCATGATTGTGGAAAAGAAAAAAGTCTGGATTATTGAAGTCGCCATACTGGGTGACAGTCGCATTGAGGAAAAACAACAGGAAAAACTCAGACCTCAAAATCGAACTGCAAAGGCTCTGGCATAAGCCAGCACAGGTGGTCCCAGTGGTCATTGGCGTACTGGGTGCCGTGCCAAAAGATCTCAGCCGGCATTTGGAAACAATAAACATTGACAAAATCACAATCTGTCAACTGCAAAAGGCCACCTTACTTGGATCTGCGCACATCATTTGAAAATACATCACACAGTCCTAGACGCTTGGGAAGTGCTCGACTTGTGATTTTGTGATAATAAATCCAGCATATAGATCTCGTTTGCTGTGACATACTGTGCTTTTATGTCAGTAAAATAATAATAATAATAATAATAATAATAATAATAATAATAATAATACTTTATTTATATTCCGCTCTATCTCCCCAAAGGGACTCAAGGCGGATTCCAAACATAAAAGGCAAACATTCAATGTCCGAATACAATAACAATACATCAGTGCTAACAAAATGTATACAACCCAACATATAAATACAAATTATAACTTAACAAACTAAAAATTAAATAAAAAGCACCTGTTATAACAGACATAAGACAAAACATCCAACATCAAATGGAAACACTGATTTCCCATTTCTTTGGGGGAAATCATTGCTCAAGATATCTATTGAGCTGGTTGGGCAAGCAGGGCACTATTCCTCCTCGTAAGCCAGAGAGCAAAAGTATGTCTTCAGCTGTTTTTTTTTTAAAGCGGGGAGGGAGGGGGCCATCTTTAACTCCTTAAGAAAGGAGTTCCAGAGGTGAGGGGCAGCCACAGAGAGGGCCCTTTCTCTCGTTCCCACCAGCCGTGCTTGGGACAGGGGTGGAACTGAGAGGAGAATCTCCTCCGATGACTGCAGTGTCCATAGAGGGAGATGTGGTTTGTCAAATAGTCTGGACTTCTCACCTGTCACCAAGGAGGCTGTCCAGACCTTGAATCGGTGTCTAGCTGCTGTGTCGGACTGGAT